TTTACCTCAATGGCTTCCTATGGATGATAAAGGATCTCACAGTCGTAGTCTTTCACTAGCTCAAGCCACCTTCTTTGCCTCATGTTGAGGTCCTTCTGCGTGAATATATATTTCAGACTTTTATGATCGATGAAGATCTTGCACGGGACTCCATACAAGTAATGTCTCCAAATCTTCAAGGCATGAATCACCGCTGCTAACTCCAAGTCATGGGTGGGATAATTCGCCTCATACTCCTTGAGTTATCGAGATGCAATAACACGTTCATTTTGCATAAGAACTGCTCCGAGTCCCATCCTTGATGTGTCTGTGTAGATAACAAACCTTCGCTACCTTCTGGAAGTGTTAAAACGGGTGCACATGTCAACATTTTTTTTCAGACACTCTTCTAACGGCTATCAGTCCACTAAAAAACCTTCAGGAAATTGATTTTTGTTATTGTTTTCATTGGCATTATCAGAACAAGAGTTGCTTGTAGATGAGGAAGCTGTGTTGGACTGGGAACACTCTTTTAAAAGCGTAAGTTCTCTCAACAGTCTCTCCTTTTTAGTTTAACTTTTTCTTTCTTCTTCAAAATTTTTTCTTTGATTTTCAATTGAAATGTGTAAGTTTTCAAACTTTTTCATCAAAAGAGGGATGTAAGGTTCTTCATCTTATATTTTCCCCATATGCTTTTCCCTCACTCCACGCTTCATATTATATTTATCCCATCTGCTCTACCTTCTCTCCCGTCTTGTTATCCCACCAACTTCTTCTTTTATTTGTAGAGCAAATGTACTTCATCTATTAAAAAAACAGTTCTCTTCCTTCTCTTCCTTGAAATTTCAAACTTGAAATCACCAGTGGAGGAGCTAGGGAGGGGCATGAGGGGGCAAGCGCCCCCACTTCGAGTAATTTTTTTAGTACTATTACTTATAATATATTTAGTGCCCCTCCTTTTTTCAAAAATAAATATCAATTAAGGATAATTTTAAATTAAATGTTGCGATAAAAGGCAAAGTCTTTCACAAAACGTGCGTGTCTCTAGGAATACAAGTATTGGCTACAACATACCACACATTTGAATGCAAGTGTGAATTATTTTAGATATCGAATGATGCACGGGTTGGCTTTTCGTGGTTATATTGAGCAAGAAAGTGTTGAATTTGATGAATATGTTGTCACGTTTCTTGTAATCAAAAGATCAAAACATTCTCGAGACTATCTTGGATTCCCTCCTTACTGAAAAAATTCATGAGAATTTTAGAATTCTTAGAGATGTCCAAGATTCCATATATGCATGTAGCAGAGAATTATTGAATGTTCTAGAATAATAATGTGTTGTTTTATAGAGAAATGTGGAACTCACTAAAAATAGTGTGGAAGTGTGTGACAGCATCTAGAACATTTTGAAGAATTGTGGGGTTTTCTAAATCCTTCCAGAAGGTAAGAGAAGCTTGTGGATACTTTTTGGAAGAATCTAGATGTGTAGTGGTGTATAAAAAATTCTAGAGAAACTTTGATGAGATTAGTATAGAGAAGCTTCACATTTATATGAGAACTTTGAGGAGAACTCTTGAGTGAGTAAAAGTGAGAGTCTCCTTGAAAGAGGAGAGTGGCAGTCTTCTTGTGAGAAAAGAAGACTCAAAGATATCGTTTGATAAAGTGTATGTGATCAAGTTAGGTAGAGTGAAGTAGTCTCATATACAAAAAGTGATTGAGAGTAATACAAAGTGATATTGTCAAATTGAGTTTTTGTATTATGAGTGTGTGGATATATAAGTGTAAGAGTCTATGAGCTCATGATCCTGGAAAAGGACGGAAGTCGTGTTTTTCCAACATAAAGTTATTATACAACATTTTGAACAAATTATTGAACTAATTTGGACTAATGTATTACGTTTTTATTTTTTTGTTTTATTTTGAGCAAATACACAAAATTCTTAGCCTTCGGTGTGCCCCTCCATAAAATCTCTAACTCTGCCACTGGAAATCACCATTTTGACCATTTTCTCATTCTCTTCCTTCTCTTCCTTTTGGGCCACTAAGCTAGATCATCAAGGTAAGAAGAAGGTGACGAGCAAATCCCCACTCATCTCCTTTAGATGGGAATTGAAGTCAATGCCTCTCACAAAAGGAAAGACTTGAAGCGGATGGTCATCATCCTTAAGTATATTCGCTTCCTGGCAGTCCGTATGCTTCTCTTGCAAAACTTCTCAAGTTCCTTCAGAGTTCTCTCCAACTATAGTCGACTTTATTCAGGTAACAAATACGGAGTATAAATAAATGACAATTTGGCTATGTAGCACGGAAACTTTCGGGAAAGAGCACGTTTCCCGTTTCGAAAACTCCCGGAAACTCTTTGGAAACTCTCCAAATAAGCCATTAATTTTGAGCAAAAGATGACGTTTCCCGTTTCTCGTTTCCTCATGATTTTTGCGTTTCCCAAGATAGTTTGGTTAAACTATAAATTGACTTGCGGTAGAGTATCTATCTGTCGAGTAGGAACCTCCCTAGCAGCTATACTGGGTTTGTTCATTTAGGTTCAGAACAAAACCTTATTTTTTAAATATAGCTTGAGTTACATAATGTATTTTAAAATGGGTAATTGATTAAGGGTTGGTTTGCAAATGCTTTAAAAAAAATGCTTCTCAGCTTTTGGCTTAAAAAAACAATTATTTTATCAAACACTATCAACTTTTATTTTTCCCGGCTTTCGTGTCAAAAGTGTTTTTACTTTTTCTATTACATAAAAAAAACTTATTTTACCAAACACTATCAACTTTTACTTTTCAATATCACTTTTTTTTCAAACACTATCATCTTTTATTTAATCACTTCTCCTCATTTCATTAAAAAAAGCGCTTTTTTTTAAGCAGAAGCTGTTGCAAACATACTGTAATTCTTCAAATGCGTTTGCGATTGCATTTTATTTTGGGATAAAATGCAAACTGGGATATTTGGAATGTTACGTGAAGTTGGTTTTATTTTATACTCCGTCCCTAATAATTTTGTCAAGTTTGACCGGCATGGAGATTAATAAAGTATAAACTGTGTGGTTGAGGTTTGTGCAGAGGAGAGAGAATTAACCAAAACTACACATTCTTTAGTTAAAAAGGAAAATGACAAAGTTAATGGGACATCTAGAAAAGGAAAATTGTCAAAGTTATAAGTGACGGAGGGAGTATTTGTTTTCATTTGCCCACCGTTTTCTTCCACTATAACTGAGAATTTCTTATTTCTTATATAAAGCCATGTACAATTAATTTGTTTAATACAAAGATGGTTTGATCGGTTGCCGGTTGGGACAGGTTTTTTCTAAGAATTTAATTACACCTTAAGTATCTAGTTAAGACAGGTTTTATTTGAGAATTTAATTACACCTAAAGTATCTAGTTAAGAGTTAAGACAGCACTGATAATAACACTTAGCCCCGGCTTAGTAAGCACAATATCAGATGCGCCCCTTGCAGCATCAGCAACCGCGATTCCAGTATCAGCCTTCTATAGAGCTGGAGCATCATTCACACCATCTCTGTCATTCCAACAATGTGCTTCCTCTCGCAGCAGTGAGCACCTATCACGAAGTGGATGTGACTTGGATATATGGGTGGGCCCAGGTTTGTCTGGTCCTGACTGAGGCTGCCCGATTCTAAAAATTATTTGAAGAAGACCAGGCCCAACCCGCTATATTCCGGGTTTGGACCAGTTTCGGGTACCTGTGTGTTCCGATTCCGGTCCTGGACCCGTTATATTTATTTAAATGGTTTCATGCTAAAAAAATTGACCGGTCGAGGACCAAAATCGGGACCTGAACCGCCTAGTTCAGTCCGCACAATAGCAAACCTAGTTCCGGACCGGTCTGGGACCGCCGACCGGGTCCACCCCTACTTGGGCATTAATGGATAATCTGTCCCTTAAGGCTAACTTGTGAATTGTTAGCACATACGACTCCACAATGGAGTTCTTTGGAATAGTCATTTGATATTGCTTCCTGTTAATATTGTTTTGCCCTCAAATGTCAGTTTCCACTGTGTATTCATAAACCGATGAAGTGTTAGTCCACTATGGCACTATGTATTCCCAACCCGGCTAGGAGAGCTTATTGGATGGACTATTTTGGTATTCCATCCTTGAGAATTTAATTTCATTTGTTTTCATTCTCTTTTCTTTTTGGGAGGTTTTGGTTCGGTCCCCCTCTCTTTTGTATACATGGCTACATTAATAAAATAATGGCAAATGTCCCCGACATTTACCCCACTGATTTTGGTGGTTGACCTTCCGGGGTAAAAAAAATACGAAAACCAATGCAAACTAGGGATGGACCCGGGCCGGGCCGGTTCCGGTTCCGGGCCGGGCCCGGGCGGGCTTTTTTTCGGGTTACATGGGCCCGGAACCGGCCCGGGTTGATACCGGGTCCGGGCCTAACCGGGCCGGGCCGGGCCGGGCCCGGTTCAATGTTTTTTTTTTTTTTTTTTTTTTTTGACTTTCTTGTTATCTCCCTACCCCCCCCCCCCTCACCCCCACGCCCCAAACCTCCCTAAAACACCCAGCCCTACCCTAGGAAAAGAAAAAAAATTGAAAAAACCAAAAAAAAAAAAAAAAAATGAACCGGGCCCGGCCCGAACCGCCCGGGCCGGTTCAACAAAAACAGGGCCCGGAACCGGCCCGCCCGACCCGCCAAAACGGGCTAAAAGCCCGGAACCGGCCAACCGGGCCCGGTCCGGTCCGGGCCCGCACAGTAGCGGGCCGGTCCGGTTCCGGGCCGGTTCGGCCCGGCCCAGTCCATCCCTAATGCAAACCGTTAATTTCTGAACACAGACTAAAATTTCACACCAAAGTAGGGTACTCGAGTGGTGGATATAGAGTACCCTAGCCAAACCTGACTCACTCTCGTCCATACATTATATTTACCACAAGGCACTAGTTGATTTGTGTAAAATACCACTCTGGGCTTGGTTTCGCTTTCTGTTTATTTACTATAGAAAACTTAAATGCAGGACAACCCCCCCCCCCCCCCCCGAAGGAATTAAGTATGCCATCAAATACCCCAAATAAAAATGCACTACAAATACAAGTACAAATACATGATATCACAACTCAATAAAACTTAGTGCATTGTATGTCTAAGAAGAAGACAAGACAGGTTTATACTTGTTAACTAATAATCAAGACCCTGTTTGTGTTGTGGAGTTGCAATAAGCTGGTCTCTCAGGTCTGTCATTGTTGAAGTGCCTGCTTTGACACCTAAGCTGGCAATTTATGGAAAACTGAGACTGTTTACAGAGTATAATGCTGCTGGATAGTTTCGATGTCCAAACCTTTGAGCTTCACCACTGACTCAACATGCCCTTTGAGCGTATGCAGTTCTCGGAGCCTGAACAAGACCACAACAACAGTGTCATTTTTCCATTGGTCTAGGCAGGTTTTTGTACTATAGAGGCACAGATAGACATGGTTCTGGTTTAGTTTGAGATCCGAACTGGTTAATTCAAGTTCTTGACAAATTGGATCCTTAAACTGGAACCATGAGTCCATGAGTAAGGTAGCCCCAATTTCGGTTCTTTGGAGTGGCAGATTCAATCCCAATGAAACCAAGATTTACTCTATTTTATTGAGAAAAGAAATAAAACCCATGTTTCATCCCAATATTTGACTTTGAACCTCTTTTTGTAAAAAGGTCTAATTAAAATGTTCTGCTCTGATTTATGCTCAAACTAATAAAACTAGTAATGTAAAGTCAAATATTGTGGTAATACATAAGGTGCAAAGACAAAATTTCCCATCTTTTAAAGGCTGATAGAACTGAAACCGGGACCTTATGTATCTTGGTCCACTTCTAGTCCTGGTTGACAGTTCTGGGCCTCTTGATTCTAGAATTAGCACCACCAATTCTAGAACCATAACCTTATCTAGAGAGTAGAGACTCAAACAAATGGACATCACAGTGAATATGTGCCAAATGGTCAGCACAATACCTGGCCATATCGGCTCTACGTTTGGCCTGTTCTGCTATTTCAGACAGCTCCCTATAGCTGCTCTTCTCATTGAAGAGATTAGAAGATTCGGGGGGTTGTAGTCCGTGTAGAGTCCTCTGAGCATGAGCCCATTGTGCTTCCCTCTCCTCTTTCCCGTAGTCCTTCTTTGTGGTAAAGGCAGTCTATTGTAATCCACGACAAAAGACAGAAGTAACATATTAAGAGTTGAGGGATCACTCAACTGGCAATTCTCTCAAAATTTAAATCTTGAAGGATTTATTTTACCTTGTTCTCCAACAAATTAAGCCATGCCTTTCCGCTTAAGGCGTAACGAGTGGCAAACTTCAGCACGTCAAGTGGGATATAGAAAACAATGCTGTAAAGCCACACCACACCCGCCCATCCCCAACCACATCCTTTGATCCTCGCGAATCCCCAGTTCGCGTACACAGCTATCAAGGTTGCAACCTGCAGTTTGCATGCAATATGTTTTTAAGGCCCGTTTGTAGCCAGGAAATACTAGGAAAGAAAATGAGGGATAAGAATAAAATTGGAAAAGAACATTCAACAATGATAGAGAGTAAAAAATCTAAATATATATTATTTCAAAATTTCCATCATTTGCAATGGAGCCAAAGATTCATTATTTTTTGGCTTGAGAATATGATGGAATAAAGGAAAACGGCTTACTAAATTGTCTGCGCTTCTTTCTTATGAAGCAGCAGTCAGTCCATACAATTTTGGATACGATTTTCACTATGAGTCATTCGGAAACAGTCTCTTTGTGCTTTAGTACAGGGGTAAGACTGCGTACATCCGACCCCCCCTACCCCACCGTAGGTGGGAGCCTTTGCGGCACTAGGGTAAATGAAAATGATGAAAATGATGATATTATTTCAAAGCATTTTTTCCATTCACTAGCACCTTCCAAATCCAAACACACCTTTCTTTTTAAGTATATTCATCAAGTATGACTAGATTTGTTGAACTGCCCATGTTCAAAAAAGCGTTATTCACAAGGCGGGCACTGAACTAGAAGCCTAGCGACTTGTGGGGGAGACAAAGTGGAAACTCTTAGAACATGGTAGAAGCAAGAACACACGGTTGATTGTATACCAGCTGGTCAATAAATTGTTAAAACACTCACCAGTTGGGCGATAAAAAAAGCAATAAGTAAGAGAAGTCCTGGGCGTTCAATAAAAGACCAGCTTCGGGATCTGGTGACAAAGATGAGAGCCTGGCTCACTATACTGACTTGTAGGTATAGCGCTGCCATCATTTCCTCATCGCTATTCCTCAGTGACCTCACTCCAAATTTATCCTGCCAATTGGAAATTGGGAATATTATAAAACCAAGCAACAAAAGAAAAAATAATAACTTAGGCTCCATGTTTTTTTCTACCCTGTTTGAACAGCTGTATTTCTCTATTTTTGAAGGTAAAGTATTATACTCCCTATTATGCATAGAACAACTGAACTACTAGGAAAGCATGTCCCACATTAAGTTATTTTTCTTGAATTAAATGGAGCCTTATGTAGATCAAGAAACCCAAGTTAGTTCCTACAGAGAAAAAGTCGGTATCATGCATAATCCAGAAGAAGACCACTGTCATCAACGCCAAATAACTTCCAAGAACAACACCAGTGGCAAAAATCTCCTTCAATTTCCAACTATCTGGCAACGGTGACGGTTTTACTCTATCCTTAGAGATTGTCATGATGGTTCCTGTAGAGCAAATGATAACACGACTTCATATGTGAAAGAGCCTGAAATAAAAGGTGTTAGGGAGAGCTAAAAGTGTATTTACCATCGTTTAGAATGGCTATGATAAGAACCATAAAAGCAGAGAAGTCATACTTCCATATCAAAGCAATAAACATGAAACCAAACTGCAAAAAAAACAGGAAGTTAAGAACAAAACACATCATTAAAATGGGCGGGACATAAAAGGTAATATTCTGAAAATGCAGCATTCTGCTTACCACAATACGTATTGTGATGGAAACCGCATAGATCTGTTGAAAGCAACCAATAATGTTTGAAATCAGTTGAGTACTAAATGTTCAGTACTAAATGTTCAGGACAATAAATCATCCCATTGAAAGTAAATAAAAAGTCCCTGACCTATGCATGGCAGCGGGGCAGGCTATTGCAGTTAGGGCGGAGCAAAACCCGACCCCACCCGAATTTTAATTCGGATTTTTCAAGATAAAATCTGACCGGGTCAGGTCACTCAACCCGCAAAACCATCCGAATGCTAGCGTGTAACCAGATGTGGGTTAAATGGATCGGGTAGGGCTTGGATTATACCCACCCGACCCATCCGAAAATCCAAAACTCCATATGTACGTATACCCGCATACATATGACACTGTATGTGTAGTATATATGTATTCCTTATGAAACCCTAAATCTATTTCCGCCTCCTTCTCTAACTCTCTATTCTCTGGCTCTCTGGTCAGTTCTTCATGAGGTTCATCTGACCTCGTCACCTCTCTGGCTCTCCCTCTGTCCCTCGGTCTGTTTCTCTCTAGTAGATAGTGTATCACGGTCTCACCCTCTTACACGCTTCTCGGTTGAAGGTTCAAACCCTAAAGTCGTCAAACGTGGAAGCATTGCCCCTTTTTCAGTAAACTTGAGATCGGGACGGTTGGACCATCTGGTAAAGCCAAGTTCGACTCTCAGTCTCCCACTCTCTCATCTCAGTCGCACTTAAGCAGTTAAGCGCGAGGTATAATTTGTATTCTATGATTTATGAAGAGTGTAAATTGTGTTTGTGACTTGTGGTTTATCTTTGAGAGCAGAACTACAATTTTGTGGAAGTAAAAATGATGTTTGTGTGATAGTGAATGTTTAACTATGCTGGCAATATTACAAGCATGAATATTCAGTGACTTTGTCATTGTTAGGTGATAATCTTCCGTGACTATATGTGATTATGAAAATGTGAGTTTCTATTTGTTGGAGGCCCCAAAGAAGAATGGTGATGAAAAAAAGACTTGGTTCTTTTTCTTCCATTGTAAGTCATAGGTTTGGGCCGGCCCTTAAGAATAGAATTAGTATAAGAGTGGGAGGAAGGAAAGAAGGGGGGTTAGGCAGAAATTAGTCGTCAGAACTGGGAATTGGGAAAACGAGACCTCTCGAAGAGTCTCATGTATTTTCTGTTTCTTCTCTTTGTTCTCTTTCTGCCACTGTAAGACTAAGATTAACATCAATATACTACAATTTCTGTGGCTTTTAATGTGTCTCTATCACTCCCCTCTCTCCCTTCTCTCTATTCACTCTCTACCCATTTCGTTTTTCGGGCCTCCCCTCTTCTCTTCTCCATCCCACTGTTCTCTAATTTTTTATCACTAGTTTTTTTCTATACTTGTACAAACTCCTTCTCTATTTGTAGTTGTTTGTGTGACTAATTTACATGCATTTTGAAAAGAAAAATTGAAGCATATTTAAAAAGATGGAGAGAGAATTGATCACACATGCAACTAAAGTTGATCACATAGACAAATAAAATTGATTACACACACAACTATTGTTTGTGAGCAGCATAACTATTGTCAGTGTGATGATTTTTTATGAAAAAATCCATATTTTGGTCAAGATAACGATAGTCTATGCACACACAATTGTTGTCAACATTGACTTGTGCGCTTGTCAGGCAGCTGCTGTTAGACTTTGTACTTTTGTTTGTGAGCACAGACTACGGCACAAACATCACCTGTGACCAACAAACATGTCAACAAAGTTTAAGGCTAAATCGAACGGTACCTGACCTTGCTGTGTTTTCTATTTGGGCATTTTGAGATGAAATCTAAAATTTTAACTTACAGTGTAGTAATAATCTGTACTACAAACAAGATGCCATCTTAAACAGAGCAGTGGAAATTAAAGCTTACAGTGTAGTTCTTCATCCTCTGGAAAATGGCTCTACTAGTTAAGACAGCACAGATAATAACACTTAGCCCCGGCTCAGTAAGCACAATATCAGATGCGCCCCTTGCAGCATCAGTAGCATCAGCAACCGCGATTCCAATATCAGCCTTCTTTAGAGCTGGAGCATCATTCACACCATCTCCTGTCATTCCAACAATGTGCTTCCTCTCTTGCAATTTCTTCACGATTTCATATTTGTGTTCTGCGGTTCACACCATTATTTACATTTATTGAGCCAGAAATTGAAAAAGATACGGGAAATCAGAGTATTGTTAACTGTACGTTTGCATGCGGGAAAATGATAGGAAAAGGGGAAAATGCAAAGGAAGGTATTCTCTTTTGCTTGGTTTCGCCTTTAATTTTGTTTTAAATGTACCTAGATATCAACTCATGTTTTTATTAATATATCATTTTGTATCTAATTCTACTATGTTAGATTCTAACATATCCGTATTTCCTTCCCTATTTTCTTTCCCTAGAACTTTGCAGGCCCTAGATAAAAGCAGAGACCTGGAAACACTCCAGCAAAACCATCAGCTTTTTCAATAAGTTCCTCCACCGGAAGAGCAGCAATAGATGCATCTTTATGTTGGCCAAGTAAAGAAGCAGATGGGTACATGTTTGTTCCCATTCCAAGTCTACGACCTGTCTCCTTGCCGATTGCAAGTTGATCACCTTCACATAATCAACAAGAAATTCATTAAAGTTGAAGGAAGAAAGGATATCAAGACACTAAGGACTCGTTCAGTAAGCGTTTTTTTAGCTTAAATTTTCTGCTTAGTCTAATTAATTTGCAGATAGGCTATAAAATCTAGGACTTTCTATCAAACAAGGCCTTAAGATTGCACTTGAAGTAGTAAAAAAAATACTAATGTTTTAGTCTACCAGTGATCATTTTAACATTAACGCCAAGATTCAAGGCCCTGCGAATGGTTTCAGCGCTATCATGACGGGGAGGATCAAAGAGGGGCAACAATCCAACAAATTGCCAAGCGTTTCCCATACTGTCTTTTGTTTTCTCTGGCACTTCCTGAGAACATAACAGTTTGTTATTGCAAAAAGCCACACGCCCTAGAATGTTGTAAAATGCGGCATTAGTACTCCAAACCTGTCTAGCCACAGCCAACGACCTAAGCCCACGTTCAGCATACTTATCAATCACGGAATGAACCTTTCTCTTGAGGTCCTCGCTAGCTTTGCAGAGTTCCAAAATCTAAGAGAGATAGAAAAAAATTTATTTTTTAACTAAAACTGGTTCTAGCTTCTAAGGTCTTTTTTTGTCTTGTTAGCCGAGAGAGTAGAAGCAAACCTGTTCTGGGGCACCTTTACTCACACGGTGCCAATTGCCATTAGAATCAATGTATGTTAGGGCAGTCCTCTTCTCCACGGGATTGAAGGGCAGGAAATGGATTTCACGAATACCAGCTCGTGCCTAACAAGGAAATCATGTTGAAATTGTGCTGTATTAATCATTGTTGTAAAAACCGCCTATTCGCGAATAGAAGAGTGCGAATAGAATACTCCTTCCGTCCACTTTATTGTGTCATTTTGGCTTTTTCGGAAGTCTCATTATTGTCTCACACCTAAAGATTGTGTGACTCTAAATCATTCTAACTTTATTCTTATTTTATTAATTTAATATCAACCACACAAACCTACTTTTCTTAATAAGCGTGCCACCTTCTCTCGTCTCAATCTTAGTGGGACGGAGGTAGTATAAGTTATATTACCTCCGTCCCACTAAGATTGGAACGAGAGAAGGTGACACTATTATTAAGAAAAGTGAGTTTGTGTGGTTGATATTACATTGGTAAAGTAAGAATAAACTAAGAATGGTTTAGAGCCACACAATCTTTATCAAATTTGGTATGGGACAATCTTAGTGAAACTTCCCGAAAAGGTAAAATGGGACAATTTTAGCTCTGAAAGAATAAATTTGCTTTTACTTTAAAAAGACTCTTGGGTGGGAAATGAAACATATTTTTGATTCAAAAAATGCATGTTTCTGTGCTTGTTTAAGAAAACACCTAAACAGAGCTTTTTTTAAGTAGAAGAAGAAAAACATTTCCAACACTTGGAATGTGGAAAGACTTCTTCTTCGGATAAAAGCACGTGTACCATAAGTAATCTAAAAAACGGGTTTAAGACACTACATATTTCACTCTTGCGTTGAACACGAGGTTTAATTTTCTCAATCAAATTAGATAATTCAATTTTAGAAGGGCATATACTCCCTCCGTCTCGAAGATTTAATTTTCTCAATCATATTAGTTCATTCAATTTTAGAAGGCATATACTCCCTTCGTCTCGTTGGAAGGTTCTCATGGATAAATGACACAATTTTTTAGGCAAGTGTTTAAATAAAGTAATTAGGTAAACAAGAGAGGAAAGAGAAAAATTAGAAAATGTACACATATAAAGTGAAAGTAATTAAGGAGAGATAAGTTAGAGGAAAAGAAATTGTGAGATTTGACATGTAATGAGTATGAAAGAGAAATTTGAATATAATTGTAATTAAAGAACCTAATTTATTTCCTAAAGTGGAATGAAAACTTTTAAATGAGACACTCAAATGAGGAAAGTGTGAACCTTTAACAGGACGGAAGGAACAATAATGATTACACTTCACAACATGTTGGGTAAATATTGTTTTAGTATTGTAGAAACAATATAACATGATAATGATTAATTATTTTGATACGCGAGTTAAGTTTTATAATGTGTTAATTAGAAAATCTCTAGTATTAAAAAAAACACTCATTTGTAACGTGAATCAATTTTGCTTTAAAAAAATTTGTCTTTCAATTTTATCTTTGTAAAGTAACTTTAATTTGTCTATGAAATTAGTATCTCTATCAGAGGCTTCTCGTTTTAAATACAATAACTTGATTTTTCAAAAATATGAACAAAATAAATTCCTAAAGAAGAGTAGTAATAATGTAATATTGCATAAATAGAGGTACTATATTTTTCATAAATAGGAATAATTACTTATATGCTTGAAAAACTGGTAATCATGAAAGTGATGCTTTAATATTTATGGTTGATCACACCAAAAGGTGACATTATGATTTCAGAGGATGGTAATGGTAACTTACTCGTATTCAATTACTGGGGAATAAAATACTCTTACACTACAATTTCTTTACTCCTATTTTGAAATAATTGCTAAATATGAATTGCAAATTAGAAATAAATCACGTAAATAAAAGTCAGAATAATTCTTTTCAAAATTAATCAAACTTCCATTGCAGGTGGCCTGATGGTTTGAAGCAAAAAAGGATAATGTCACAATGAGGAGAAGAAATAATTTAACATTCAGAAAAGTAAATATATATCGATGTTATGACCCGATTGGGTCTATTCATGTCATGTTATGAATCACAATTGTAAAAAACAAATGTTGAGGTTTAATTTATCGAAGAAATGAAAAGTTTAAAGATGACATTATATTTTAGGAACTAAGAAATTGAAATCAAAATACATGTGAACATTTGAATTCATACTATTGATATCATTTTCTATTTAGTTGAATTTTCAGACAATCATGATCATGATTTTTTATTCTATAACTTAAAGTAGACTTGATTTGTTTGAAAAAAGAGATTAAAGAAGAAAATTACATAAAATAGAATGGCGAAAAAGAATTATTTCGTATGATAGAGAGGCTCATGGTTGTAATACTTGGGCGTGATACCGAAGGATGAATAATACAGTAAAATAGAAAGTGTGAATTTGTGGATGCATTTATGAGAGATAAAATGATTTTGTAACTTATAAATGCATTTAATGCAAAATGAGAGGAACAATATTATTGGCTGGGTTCTAAATTTACCTATGTTTAGGAATTTTTCATAGGCTGAGAAGAAAATAAGAAAGGAAAATAGAGTATATTTATTTATTTTTATTTCCATCTCATGTGTTTTGTTTGAGGTAAAAAAACAACGAAATGAAAGTAAAGAACTCATTTTTTATTCTTTGAATTACATTAATATATTAGTGTAGGAGGGAAAGAAAGTCTAATGAAATGCTGTATATTCTATGATCTGAACGTTCATAGCATACATAAGATGAATTTAAAATTTTATAAAGTAGGATAAAAAAATGTAAGCTGCTTTATCACGAATCATGAATTTACCCTTGTGTTTAAGAGAGAGGAAGAGAACAATACTACCCCGTAGTAGAAAATAAGGCTTCATTTCCAATCAATCCTGATTCTCTCACTAGCCATATTATATTCGAAATTTTCTTTCTTGACAAAGAGTGAAAGTGGTAATTTACACAACAATGGTAGGGTGTTGAAAGTTTGGACTTTTACATATATGTATATGTGTGTGTAAATAGAAATTGAGAAGATAAGAAGGAAATATGGAGTACGTACGTACGTACCTCCTTAGGATCAGCAAGCATGCCGACCATGGCAGCATCAATAGCATCCTGATTTTCAGTTCTTGAAGCCCTTGCAGCGAAAAGGAGAACGTGCTCTTTATCCACATCTTTTGCAAAGACCTCAATCAGGTTTTTATCAACGCTAAGCTTGTTTAGAGTTAAGGTCCCTGTCTTATCACTGCACAACACATCCATCCCCGCCATCTCCTCAATCGCAGTCATTCTCTTGGTGATGGCACCCTGCTGTGACAGCCTGTGCGATCCAATGGCCATTGTGACTGACAAGACGGTTGGCATGGCAATGGGAATGCCGCCAATCAAGAGAACAAGCAGATTGTCTATTCCATCCCTGTACTTCCTGTGCTGAATCGGGTACATCACAATGATTTCTGCTAGCATCCCCACAGCAATTGAACAGATGCAGAAGTTCCCAATGGCAGTGAGCACTTTCTGGAAGTGGCCAACCTGGTTAGTGCTGTCAACAAGGTGAGCTGCCTTTCCAAAGAAAGTATGAACCCCTGTGGCGATAACAACAGCTTCAATCTCTCCTTGTTTGCACGTTGACCCGGAGAAGACTTCATCTCCTGGAGACTTGGTCACTGGGAGAGATTCCCCAGTAAGTGCAGACTGATCAACCTTTAATGGATCACCTTCTAGAAGACGAGCATCCGCGGGAATGATGTCTCCCAATTTTATGCTCACAATATCTCCTGGGACCAGAATCGCAGCGTCCTGTTCACTCCAACGCCCATCTCTCAGAACCTGCAGTACGTACTTCATTACATACCTCTTTTTGAACATTTATTAACTAATTAATGAATTACACTTGCTCCCATAGTACTCGTTTGACTTTGAAGGTAAAGCACAATATTAAGACATATCTGCACCTGGAGAAGATCAATAGCCTTATTATTATAGATGATGTGTGTACCTTGGTCTTGGGAGCAAGTCCAGCCATAAGAGCAGCAGCAGCATTTCCAGCATTGTTTTCTTCAATAAAACTGATGGTTGAGTTGATGACGAGCAGACAAATGATACCCACAAAGTCCTGCCAATCCGGGGGCCTCCCATCTCCATTGGCTAGTGCAATTGCCATTATGGCAGCAGCTTCCATGACCCATGACAGTGGGTTCCACATAAACCCGAGGAACTTCAGTACCTTGCTTTCCTTCTTCTCTTCTAACTTGTTTGGTCCGAATAGTTGAAGCCTGTTAGCTCCCTCCTCTGAGGTCAGCCCCTCGTGGCTACATTTCAGCTGTTCAAACACTTCCTGAATTGGGATCTTCTCCTACCATCCCATCCCAGCAAGAATTAGAACCAGGTCAGCGCATGCGTGCATTATCATATGTATGTAATACTACTCATGTAATTATTATTACTACTATACCTATGTTGCTTATATATGCTTCGTGTATGGTTTGCTATATCCTGCAGCCTTCCATACTCTTATTATTTATACGTGTGAGCCTTTGCGTGGTAGGAGGACCTTTCTACAAATAACTAATTCACTCCTAAATGTTGGTGTTCTATGTTTTTCATAAAAGATTTCTTTTCCGGTCGTGATGATGGTGTTAAATTCACGCACGGATAAAATATGAAATAATCAAGTGTCATATTACGATTCTGAGTTACTCCTATTTGGTTGACACGTAATTTTAGGTCTTTACATGATACCGGAGCCAAATCAATCTGTGATCATGACATAAGCCCCTATGAAAAATGGAGACACGGTTACAAAAACTGACAATGAATCGACAAAAAAATGAATGACGGTAGGATTCAGACACTTTGTCTAGTCATGAGGGATGTTAAACTCACACACTAGTAAAATTTAAAGTAATTTTAGATTTTGACTATTAGATTGACTTTTTAGGATGAAATCTCAAATCTTATTAACTTTTAACATATATTTTAGATTATAAATATCTATACATACCTTTATACACAAAAAATTACTCTTGGAGGGTAGATTATAAGTATCTACCCTGTCTGTATCTATTATAAGTCTTGTTACCGTATACTCACTTGCATATCATGCAATGTATGTAGTAATTAATAAGTTTGTCGGAATTTAAGAACTTCCAAAACAATTTCCCCCAAACCAAAATCATTGGAAATGCTTCCTTGACAATGTCATTTTTGCTAAATAGGTACGTGATTGTAGTTACATGACTAGTTATGGGTATATGACAAAATACGGGACCATTAATTGGTATATGAAAAATTATGGGACAAAACCTACAACTTCTCTAAGTACAATAGAAATATGGTAGCGAGGGAATGTCACAAGGATTAGGTCCCGGGTTCAAATCCCGACAACTGCGATGAGAGGTTACTATGCTGAAAAATGCATAAGGCCTCTGCGAGTACCGGGAACGGAGTCTCACTCTCTATCTGTCAGATTGTGATTATAATTCAATTTACATCCTCCCATCGTGCAGTCCGGTCGGTGTTGGGGGCCCTCAGAGATGGGGTGTCATCCTTTTTTATAGAATTAATTCAGTGCCTCTGAACGTGCCCCCACGTGGTTCTTTGGACCTAAATTTTGACCTTTATTGGTGAATTCAAGCACAAGAAATATGGATTACTTGAACAGTTGAAAGAATATTGAGATATTTACCTCTCGTGTGACTAAAAGACGCTATGTTTCCCAATATATGACTCCATGAGCTTTTTTCCTGTTTTCATGCCTAAATATGATGCATGGTTATTCCCGTGTTTCTTAATCTTTATTTAATTCCACGGTTAATTCAATTTTAACAAGTAACTAACTCATCCTAAAATTATGGAAGTGATTTGTATGAACATGGATTTGCACGTTCTAGTCATACGAAGATAAAAAAGTATGGTTAGTCATTCTATGGGAATTAACTTGAGTTTTAGTAATATATACATAAATTTCCCAAGAATATTTGAGCTCCATAAATGGGGAAGATCAAAGAAATAAAATCCTTTTACAAGTTGTGTCGGACGAAAAAGTCAAAACCAAAGAAAATATGTCTCCGAGAAAGAACTTTCCCAACTTCTCTCGTTTTTTATTATTACCTCAAACAAGGAAAGAAGGTTCGATGTAATAGATAATTCGGAGTATTATTTTTCAGTTCTTTAAATATTGCCATTGAAACAATTTTTCGTTTTATTAAGAACGGTATTTTAGTGTTAAAAGAGAGAAAAGAAGTGCCGGATTTTTGGTGATCGTGATCAATCGTATTCAACGCTAACTTTCAAAAGTCAACAGTCAACTAAAACAATTGGCAAGCCAATCCTAAAACGCCGGGCTACTCTCCTATCTTGCGAGTCCTCACCCACTTTTCCCGGCGTTGACAATTTCCGCACGTTGACCCAAACTGCTAAAACGACACATACTCTGGACAATTATTATCCTTCCCTCTTTGTATTTTATCGGAATTAAAAACAGATAAATTAATTAAAAGTATAAGACCTCTAAGACCACTTGCCCACTTGGAGTGGTGTGGAAGCTAAAATGGCAAAAATCGACTTCATTCCTATGAAAATAGTTTTTTGATTTGTATGTCTCTGTATTCTAGCACCATTAATGAAATACATTTCCTTTGGAGCCTAAGCGGATTTAGGCGAGAAAAGGCGCCTAAAGCGGGACAGCTAAATATTTCTAAATTTAGCAATTCTGCTACAATTAGGGAGCAAATAAAACAATCACAAAGGAAATTTGTTAATTAATGAAGTGGTCCAGCTTAGCTGGTCGCCGACCCACTCTTCTTTGTGGGAGGTCCGGGTTCAACTCTCTATAGAGTGAGATTGAGCTCAGTTTATCCCAGGCTCCCCACCGCCCCCTCCCCTGTCCCCTGATGCCCCTGGGGTAAAAAAAAAGGGGAAATTTGTTAGTCTACTTTATGTGTTAGGGCATTTAATTTGAGTGTCCGATAAAATCAGAGTTTCGTAGATTGCGGTCCAATAGTAGAGAATGATCGAGGGCTAAGAAGAGAAGGATAAATATCATGAACTTTTATTTCGCTTTATCGCATTTTGTTTAGTGAAATAAGGATTAAGCCATTAATTCAATAACGTTTGATTTGAGTCGTCGTTAGATAAAATCAGACTTTCGTAGATTGGGATCAAATATTAGAGAATGATCGAGGGCTAAAAGATAGTAGGATAAATATCATGACCTTTTATTTCAGTTTATCGCATTTTGTTTAGTGCAATGGGAAAATGGAAACTAATAATCCAACCTTTTAGCGGTCTTCTTACAATAGTCTCACCTTTTGATTATTCATGAATAATCCAACCTTTGCACCTCATCTTCATTCACTGGTCCCTGACCGGTTGATGACCTACTATTCCAAGTTGTTTTCTTATCTTTGCAAACCATTATACCATAAATCTCACCTTTCACTAATATAATATTTTGCAAAGATAAGAAAATAACTTGGAATAGCAGGTCATCAACCGGTCAGGGACCAGTGAATGAAGATGAGGTGCAAAGGTTGGATTATTCATGAATAATCAAAAGGTGGGACTATTGTAAGAAGACCGCTAAAAGGTTGGATTATTAGTTTCCATTTTCCCTAGTGCAATAAGGATTAAGCCATTAATTCAATAAGAATAATTGCAATCATATTTTTTTTGAAAGCGCTATCACAATATATATATATATATATATATATATATATATATATATATATATACACACATATATATACATTCAGTTATAATCGGGACGTTTTTACTTAGACTGTAATTTGCTGAGATGGTCTGGTATGGCCTGATTAAGTTTGGTCTGGTCTGGTCTGATAAACGTGTAGTCTCTGTTTATTTTATAATCACGGAAGACAAGTTTGGTTTGATCTATTTAAGTAAGGCCTAATATGTTTAAGTATGATCTAATCTGGTCTGCGATTGAAAACCGTCCAACTAAAAGATCCTAAAATATTTTCATTAATGAGGAAGCAGAAGATAACTAACGGTATACTCCGTATAAAAAAATCGAATATTAAGCACGTGAATATATGTCAAAGAATATAATGCTTTTTGTGAAGTCATTTGATGAATGTGGAAAAGAAAGGTTTGACAGATATATGCATCTTCTTTATTTTTCTTTTGAAAGGAATACAACTAACTAGTCACATGCATGTGTGACTGGACCATGAAGAAATGTTTTTTATAGTATGTTTTAAATAACTATTCCAACAATTCTATTCTCTCCGTCATTTATTAATTTCTACGCCCACCGATATATGGGAAAGAATATTTTTGAAAAAAAATACACAAAATTTTGTGCATTAAAAATAAAGACATTTTTAAAATTTCGGCTGAGCCAGGACCAGGTCTGGCCCACCCCTAGCTACGTCCCTGCAGATATAATATACTCCGTACTATACTATACGGCTATCCCAAACTTGTTGCCTAACGTAACAGTGCAATCCAAATGTCAAAACATTTTTAAATAAATTTTCACATAACAATTTGTATATTAAAATACGTTCAATTTTTAAATATGGAGTGGATCGAGAACGGTTTGCCCCCCACATCCGCCTCTGCCGCAATCGTCTATTTTAACACGATTTTTTTAACCCGGTAGACAAACCACCATGTTTTATTAGACCGAGAAAAAATACATTTTTACTATTGCACAATTTTTCACCGGCAAAGTGGCAATTTTACTACTCCGAAACCAGGTACCCCTGAGTCCCTCAACTCCAACCCAACCTGAATACATCATCTAAAGTTTTATAAGAAATTGTTCAAAATAGAAATAACACATAAGAAAAGTTTTAAAATAAGACTAAGAAATTTATGAAATTTGAGCTGAAGTGGTTGTATTAGCTAATTCTACTGATTCATGAAAAAGATTTTCCCCCTTTAGAAAAATTTCGAAGTAACTTGCCATGTATACATACGAATATTCATAAACAAGTACACATTTTAATACACACTTTAAGAGATTAAAGATCCCGTTTATTAACAAAAAAATTAAAGAACCACATGTGATTGAGTCACATGGGGTATTGTGGCTCCAATCTCCACCACTATATCAGTAACATATGAGAGTATATATGAGAGAATATTTTATGAGAGTATATATGAGAGTATATTTTAAATATAATTTGTTCATATCAATAGAAGTAATCAACTTCAATTAAAACTTTATAAATTTAAACAAAATCCATCAACATCAATACATTTAAGTTGGGTATCAACAAAGGAGTCACGGTTTGGGAGATGTAGTCCTCCATAACTTCTCGATCTCCCAAAATAATTTTTTGAGAAATAATAATGAGAAATATCATCAAATTAGAGTCAAGTTGTATATCATCATTTTGTATTTTGGTTTGTCGCCTTGTAGTACGCCAGCCATGACGTACAAAGTTGTTCCGACATAAAGTTATTATTACTATGGAATATATGCTAAACCATTTAGGCCGGTGCTTAAGCACTAATGATGAATATAATAATATTCTATGAAAAGCATTCAAATTTTCAATGATTGATGAGTCATTTATGAATTGCTTTTTGTTGGAGGTATAAACAGTAAGCATATGATTTAATTTAATGGTTATAAAGTATATTTCCTTTCATCAATGCTTTACTATAATCAGTTATAATTTTTTTTGTTGTTGAATGATAATCACTTATATAATTTATAAACTTAACAAAAACGACGGAAAAAAAGGGAAAAACTGTTAAGATCGTGGAATCAAGACATGAAAAAAGTGAGTTCTATTGTAATTTATAAACTTAAAGGTGGAGCTGGCCATCTCGGAAGGTTTTTCTAACTTTGAAGTTGAAATGGATGCCGTGGTTGCCCTGAAATACATCGAAGATGGTGGTGCGAGACGTTGGAAGGTGAGCTATCAGGAAACCTTACAGAAAGCAAAAAGGGGTTTTTTTCTACCGTTGTAAAAGGGAGTGTAATTGGGTAGCCCATATTATTAAACAGATTTCGGATATGCCAGATTTAGCCCAAAGAACGTATTATTCGGATTTATTCGGATTTCGTTTCTGTTTTATTTTCTCGTGTTATATTTGGGAGGAATGCCTCCTTGGAGGGGTTTTGGTTTGGTCCTCTCCTCTCTGTATATGTTTTTCTCTATTTAATAAAACATGGTAAATGTGTCCCGTCATTTACCCCACTGATTTAGGTGGTTTGCCTTTCGGGGTAAAAAAAATTGTAATTCATCCACTATGATTATTGTTGGGTTAATTATTACTACCCGTCCCACTAACATTGAGAGATAAAGAGGTGACACGATTATTAAGAAATGTGGAGTTGTATGGTTAATATGAATTTATAAATTAAAAATGATTTAGAACTATATAAATTTTTGGTGATATGAGACAATTTAGTGGGATCAATAAAAAAGAAAAGACATACTTCCTTCGTTCTTTTTTAGTAGTCCTTCTTTCCTTTTTGGGACGTTTGTTTATTTGTCCTCCTTTCCCTTTAAGGAATGTTTTTGAGAAAATACCCCACTTTTATTACTTTTACCCCACTTACTTTTTACAAACTACTTTACTATCACTTTACTTTTCTTAATACACTCTCTTTCCTACTTTATCATCGTTTTACTCTTTTTAATATACCATCTTTCCTACTTTATCATTTACCCTACACACTCTATACTTACCCTACTACTTTATTATTAAAACTCGTGTCAAACCCTAAGAGGACTAATAAAAAGGAACGGAAGGAGTAACAATCTTAACTGGACAGAATGGAGGAAAGAGTGTGTGTGTGTGTGTGTGTGTCTATATATATATATATATATATATATATATATATATATATATATATATATATAGAATTTAGATCAAATAAAAAAAAGTCTTAACATGTAAAATGAGAATTAATCTCAGCCGTCCAAAGTGTCTATCTGATGCACAATAACCCCTATCTGATGCACTTTCAAATAGACCTTATTTGATGCACCTTTCAAAAAGTGCATCAAATAAGGTCTATTCGAAAGTGCATCAAATATGGGTTATTGTGCATCAGATCGACACTTTGGACGGCTGAGATTAATTCTCATTTTACACGTTAAGATGTCTTCTCATTTGAACTCACCCCTATATATATATATATATATATATATATATATATAGGGGAAAGATCAAGTACAAACTGTGCTTATTGTGCAAACATTTGTACAATGTACCTTGACGTTCTTACTATTGCATATTGAGGTTCAAAGTAATGCATACTCCCTCCGTCCCATTTTAAATGGGACGGGAGATGGTGGCACGGGTTTTAAGAAAAGTGAGTTTGTGTGATTGATATTAATTGATAAAGTAAGAATAAATTAAGAATGATTTTGAGCCACACAAAGTTTACCAAATAAGGTATGAGACAATTAAATAGGGACATCCCAATATGGTAAAACGGGACATATAAAAGAGGACGGAGGGAGATTATTCAGCCATAAAATAGCAGTTGCACATTAACGTTCAACGAGTTGCACCCTAAAAAAGTTGGGTTTTATTATAAAAATGTCACATTGCCTTTATGTTCTTTGGATCAACTCATCGGACGATCAAGATGAGTTTGTACTTTGTAATTTAAGAAGGGTTTGTATTTGATCTCTATTCTCTATTCCACGTATATATATATATATATATGTATAAATATATATATATATGTGTGTGTGAGAGAGATGTATGATTAGTACTATTAGGCAATAAATAAATTGATGTTTCAAACGAATAATAATTGAATTTAAGATGGAGGTAAAGTTGACAAAATTAAAAGTTGATTTGAAAGTAACGCGGCACGCGCTGGGTGGTTAAGGGTGTGTTTGGTGGATTGAGTCAAACAAGGACGCCTTGGAACAGGAAAAGAAGCCTGCCCGGCCAGTTTCTATTGCCGGCAGGAGATGTATAATCCCGATGGTAACGAGGCAAACCCCAAAGACTATACATAAATTAATTTAATACGGAGTATATATAAAATCTTCTTCTTCTTCTTCCCGGCCTAGGCATGGGTGAGACTAGCTAATAAATGAAATTCGATCAATCCCGCCTACTACTGTAGTGTATATTGGTAGGCAAAAAAGAAAATTAATAGATGAATCGATTAGAACACATACCAGATCAACAGTTTCATTCTTGATGTCATCAAGAGTGATGGATTTTTCTCCACCCATTAATGCCCCTTTTCGTTTAGTTCGCCACGCAACTTTGAAGGTTGTAGTGGACGAAGATCATGAGCCTTCTAAGCCGCGCTCAATCACCCAACCAATTCGATCAATACTATATATAGAGAGAGAGATACAAAGAGAGGAAAGGTTAGGAAGCTACTGAGGATTCATTGAATACGTAAATATTGCGAGGGGTAAATCAAAACCAATATACATACACATATTACTAATAATAATTCATTAATAATAAAACAATACGGAGCAATAATAATAATATAATAATAAAGGGCAGGAAATGTAAATGTTGCAAGTAGACAAGATGAAGGAGAATATGAGCCGCATTTACGCTTGTCCTTTTATTATACACATCTACAAGGCACCGCTGCCGCTCTTTAATTTTAAGAAAGAAAATGCCCCCAATTTAACCCCAACTCTCCTTCCAAGTGGGCATCTATCACTAATTCTAACCCCCATTTTTAGATATAGTAGCCCATATTAAATTCATTACGAGTCCAGCGTTACACTTAAATTAGTCAAATCCATTTATTTTGTTGAAATTTGTGATTCTATTGAATTATGAAAAAATTCTTTTAAAATACATTTCATTAATAAAATAAGGGAAAAGGGGCAAATAAGCCCGTGTACTAACCAAAAAAAGTCAAATAAGCCCTTATATAAGAGACGTTGTCCGGCTGTCGCCATTTGGGGGGTTCCCGGTGGCATTTTTTCATAAAATTTTTTTGAGCATCTTATTCGTTAAGTCTAGTTTACTCATACCAAATTTCAGCTAAAACTTCAATCGGGAAGGCATTCAAATAAATTCTTGAAGATAACAGCGCAGTTAAAAGCACGGGTATCTTCAAGAATTCATTTGAATGTCTTCCCGATTGAATTGTTAGCTGAAATTTGGTATGAGTAAACTAGACTTAATGAATATGACGCTAAAAAAATTTCATCAAAAAATTATACCGGGAACCTCCCCAAATGGCAACGGTCGGACAGAGCCTTCAATATAAGGGCTTAAAGAAAGAATTATACGAAAAAAATTGTTGAAATAGTTCCCTACACCACCTTCATCCAATTCAGCCAGAATTAAATTTACATTAAATAGCTATTTACATACAAAACTTTGGGTAGGGTCCACCTTCATCGGGTCAGGTCAAAGTGGATTCGGGTCAAAGGCGTTCAATTCAATATATAGTGAATTCAAAATGAATAGCGGATGAAAGACAAATTGATCCTCGAAATTCACTCATTGAAATGGAGAAATTGAGAAAAGTGATGGAAGGCTAAGAGCATCTTCAGCGGTTAGATAATTGTCTTCATAGCTTGACTAGCCACATAAGCATTTGTAGCAAAATTGAAATATACTTCAATGGCTAGCTATAACTATTTCCTCTTCATTTATTATTTATAATGCCATATTTAATAATTCTCCTTCTCAAACTAGTAGCTCATTTAGGCTAATTAGCTTTCTCAAGCAAAAGGAAGAGTAATGCTCCAATAGTACGCTAGTAGCTTCTAAATTGCAAGCAAATCCCTAGAACTAATTGTTGGATAATTGATACCCATATCCTATAACTAAGAGAGATTGAACAAGAATAAATAAGAGTAATGGAGAAGAAGAAGGAAATGTGTATTGTGTATGAACTATGAGTTTGAGTTGTGGTTTACAAGCATCCTATAAGGAGTATATATAGGGAAAATCCGGGTCTGGGCCTCTAATACGGGCCTGACACACCCGGTTACATAAATGGACTGATAGTATAAAAAGCTAATCTAGAACATTTGAATAATAATGTACAATAATATGAATCTGCTAAACGTGTGTGGGCCGCTGTCCAGGCCCAGTAGTCGACATACCGGGGGGTCGGAGTCCATATACTCAATCAGGAGTCCCCCACTCCATGAGTCGAGAGTACTCGAGGCGAAAGGGAGTAGTCCAAACTGTATCTGCTACGTTCTTCTATCTTCGGTTTCTTCCTCTTTAGCCGGGGGACCACCACCCTTGTCAATGATGGGGAGGTGCCTCGTTAAAAACCTTTACTAGGAAAAAACCCAGTGGGAAAAAATCCTAATAAAGGGAAAAAAGAGTACACCTAGCGCCCCCAACATGAAACAAGGAAGGTAGGCCCCCTCCGGTATAATCACTTTTGTCTAGCTCAAACCGTCTTCATCTGACTCATCTCTCATTACTGCTCATGCGTGATATTTTCTCCTCATCTAGAAACTCTGACCCCTTAGTCCCCCAGTCCCCACTCTTTGAGGCGAGTGGAGACGAGGTGAAAATGAGTAAGGTCATCTCTGTACCTACACATTTAACATACATATCAATTTTTTCTTGGAATTTATGTTTCCGATCGGGAGTTCGTCACTTGAAACAAGTGGATATGTGAATTGTTAATGTAATGAAAAAATACATAGTAGAATGGATGTGTGAGCCATTCATAAGCAATGGTCGCCACTCGAGGAAAGACTAAGATCGGTCTTCGTGCCTGAGAGTCGGGGCTTTGTGCCTGAGAGTCAAGGCTTTGTGCCTGAGAGTCAGGGCTTTGTGCCTGAGAGTCAGGGCTTTAAATCCTAGTGATGGGTCTCAAGCCACACTCTACTAGGCATTTGATCATAAGTGCGTGATAGTGTGACACTCACCCGACAAAAAAATGATTTAATTAAATATAAATGATGTTTAAATTAAAGTGTACTTATCTTTTTAAAGTGGGCTGAAATATTAGACTTGTTGGTCCCGTTTAATTAGGGAACAGTCTAGGGGGGTGAATAGACTGTTCAGATTTTTCAAGCTTTTCTATAAGTCAATATTGACTTATCAGAGATGGTCTGAATCTGGTGACAGAGAAGGTCGAGTTCTAATGTCAGAACTGGACCTGGCAGCAGATAAGAGTTCTGTTCGGGCAGCCTCAAGAAACACTAAGGCAACTGCCTTTCTGTTAACTCTTATACCAAGATCTGCTGAACACAGATTCCAAGTTCTTGAGAGTTTCACAGTTAAAATCCTAGGAGCAGAAATTAAATGCGTAAAGTAAATGACACCGGGGTTTTTATAGTGGTTCAAGGAACAACGTGTTCCTCAAGTCCACTGTTCCACTAAGCTTGTAAGTCAACAATTACAACGCCTTAGTCTAACACTTAAGAAGCACTCCACATCTTCTTCAAGTCTAGTTGTCACCCGGGATGCTTTTCCTGACTTCCTGATGACTGGTCTCGTTTCACTGAGTCTTTAGAAGTATCCTCACTTCTCTGCTCCAGCTAGTTTGAGACGTCCCTTCTTTTTTAAGAAGAGTTTTCAGTTAATAACTGTTTTCTCCAACGTTGCTTCGTCACAAAAGATGTGTAGTTAAGGTTCTTGAAGTGTTGAAGAACTGAAGGAACTTTTCTCTGTATTGGAGGAAGAGATATGAGAATATTATCTTTCCAACGAAAGCTTTTCTTGTTGAGTAAGATGAGTTTGAGGTCTCAAGAAAGCTTGAGGGTTTGAATGTTGTGAGAGCGAAAGTTACCCTGTAGTTTTTCGAAGTGTATCTAATATACTGAGAGAACTTCATTTTTTTTTACCCCGAAAAACCACTGTATATAGTGGGGTAAATGTCGGGAAACATTTACCAATATTATTAATAGTAAAAGGTTAAGGATTACAAAGATTGGTTATGGAGTGGGATAGATGCCCAGATCCGGCCCTACAAATAAAAAAGGAAAGAAACAGAATGCGTCCAATACAGGAGAATAAATTCCTGCCATCAAATGCAAAGTGCCAAAAGTGAATTGTCTCAACCCCAAGCTTTGGAGGCATCGTTTATAGAGAGAGACTTCATCTTCCCGGGGAAACATTTCAGCCGGCGTCCCTGAAGAAACTGACTTCGGCCTTGTCATTGAAGAAAGCTTGCTTGGCATTGGTGGGAAGGAGATCTGTGGTGTAGTGGGAGATCGAAGCTGACCCGATGGCCGATTTAGCGAGGAAGTGAGCCACTGTGTTGACTTCCCTCGGACGATAGTCGAAAGATAGATGGTATTTTATTCCAGTCCAACGTAGTCTCTGGATCTCCCAGCGTAGGTAAGTTGGAACCTTTTTAATTCCTTGAATCATTTGGATGCAAATTGTTGAGTCATTCTGTATTTGGAATCCAACATAACCCTGTTGTGTAATGATCGAAACTGAGGTGTCCATTGAGATGATTTCTGCGTGGAGGGGGTTGTACGCTTGGACTGGGAATGAGAAGGCTTCTATGAGTTCACCTTCCGAGTTCCGGAGAATGGCTCCTCCAGAGGCACTGCCCTCTTTATAACATGCGTCTGTGTTGAGGATGAGAGTGGATGGTGAGTTGTATTTCCATTTAATAGGTTGTCTGGTTTTCTGTTTTTGTTTGATGTATGGCATGAGTCCGTCAGTATGCAAATCTGCGTCGAATTCGTAAAATTTTTTGTTGAGATTGGAGTAGCACCAGTTGGTTGTGTATTGCTTGATTTCTGAGACGATTTGTGTTTTGGACATAGTTTTCCCTTCCCAAATGCAATTGTTGTAAGCTTTCCATACACGCCACATGATAATTCCTGGCATAGCGTGTCTTATTATGTCTCTAATGTTCTTTAAGTCCCTCCCCATCCACCAAATGTATAGAGTCTGTCTCAAGTCTTCGTGATTGGTTGTCCTAACCTGCAAAATAGAAGAGAAATACCTCCATATGGGGCTGATTAGTGGGCATGAAAATAGGGAGTGATTTTGAGTGTCCTGATTGTGTAAACAGAATGGACATCTAGTGACCAATCGAAGGTTAAAACGTTTGAGGTTGTCAGGAAAAGGTAATGAATTTGATAGGTATTTCCAGAGGAAAAATTTGATTTTGAGTTGGATGGGTGTTTTCCAGATGTGGGTGAGTGTGTATGTGGTTGGGTAGAAGACAACTTCATTTAGTGCTTAGTACTGTTGATTTGACCGGTTGGTCCTTCAGCTTGCTATTTTGAGAGTGAAAAGATATTCGCAGAGTCAATTATCAGCTTTAAATATCTCAACGTACGAACAACATTAATTGATCATTTAATGCGTGAATAGTACCATGTTCCGTTGATTGGCTCCTAGCCGTTGAGGTATTTCCCGTTAGTTTCACGGCCGTTGGAAGTAGCTCTAAAATCTTCTAAGTGCCCATCCTAGTCTTATGAGGTTCACTGATAGCATCTCTGATGGCTGGTCCTGATGGCAGCTCTGGTGGCTTCCCTGAAAAGCATCTCTGGTAGCAACTCTGAAGAGCAGCTCTGGTAGCAACTCTGAAGAGCATCTCTGAGAGCAACTCTTGAAGAGGAAGTCCAAGAGGGTCTCTGGCCAGTCGACTATGCTAATACTTGAATAGAGAATTCTAATACAAGATTTCTAAAAGGGGTACTTTAATATTTTAATTAACCTAGCATCATCAAAATCTACATACATTTATTACTTACAATTTCCCCC